TTGCATTCCTTGGCTCTCTCCTGCCTATTGAGGACTCTCCCACTAACCTTTAGCAAGTACTTGGGAGCTCCCCACCATCTCACCTCAATCCAAGCTTCTCCCTCTTAAGCTCTGTGGAACCTGTGAGCATTATCCCTTCAATGTTCCTGCATTTTCACACTTCAGTGGTTTTGCTCATATTCGCTTACTCTGGGGTATCTGGCTCCCTCCCATTTTTTGCTAATGATCAAAAATTTTCAGGATGTAACTCAAATATCATCTCCATCTATGTAGCCTCAAATGCTCTTGGTTTTTTGAGGGTCAGGCTATAAAGTTCAGGCTGGTCTTGAACTCACTGGGTAGCCCAGGCTGGTCTCAGACTTGTGCAGATCCTCCTGTCTCAGTCTCCTGAGTGCTGGGATTACAGGCCTGTGCCGCCATGCTCAGATGAGGACTGTGAGTTTAGACAAGCATATGCATTTGAGTAACTCACCATCACCACATTGATGGTGTAGGACATTCTCATTAAGTCAAAAAGTCCTCTTGTGTCTCTTTGTAGACAGTTCCATCCTCCATTCATAGTTCTTACAAATCTCTAATCTGATTTTTGTTCCTCTATAGCTCATATAATTTGAACTTCACTTTACATTTTCTCACATGGGCCTTATGTGTGCCATGATCTGCCATTATATGGCAATTCCCTGAAAGACAAGACAGCTACAATCACTCATCTTTGTATTATTACTCAAAGATATTCAAGCCAAGTTTCAAACACATTTATTGTGTGTCAGGTTATAAACATTTGATAAAAGGAAGAGAGAAGAAAAGGGAAAAGAGACAGAAAATAAATGAACCTACAGCAACCACCATCCCCTTCATTAGTGGAGATCCAGCTTGGCATTGTACTGGCCCGTTTAATATTCTATCACTGAACTCCACTTCTAGCCCCATAGAAAGGTGTCTATCTGAACTCATGTTAGTTTAATGAAGTATTTTGATTTATTCATTTCAGCTGTAAAAGTAGTTATTCCTAAACACCTAAACATGAAATGTTTGAATCAACAAAACCTGTTAAAAATGTGATTTTAGCCTGGCATGGTGGTACACACCTGTAATCCCAGCAGTTGGAGCCTGAGGCAGGAGGACTGCCTCAAGTTGGAGACTATCTTGGGCTATGTAGTGAGATCCAGGGCACGACATGGAATATTTAGTGAGACCTTATCTCAAAAAACACAAACTAGATGGTCTTGGGAAGAAAGTCTTGGGGTAGATTCCTTTCAAAGGCTCCCTGAGCCCTTCGACTAGACAAGATGAGCAAAGCTCACCCTCCCGAGCTAAAAAAATTTATGGACAAGAAGTTATCATTGAAATTGAATGGTGGCAGACATGTCCAAGGAATATTGCGAGGATTTGATCCCTTCATGAATCTTGTGATAGATGAATGTGTGGAGATGGCAACTAGTGGGCAACAGAACAACATTGGAATGGTGGTAATACGAGGAAATAGTATCATCATGTTGGAAGCCTTGGAACGAGTTTAAATAATGACTGCTCAGCAGAAAAATTCATGCCCCTCCTCCAAGTGCTACTTTCACTGACTGAAGATTGGGTCATACACATTTTCATATATTAAATTTTTGTTAAATAAACTTTTGTAATAGTCAAAAAAAAAAAAAAAAAGAAAGTCTTGGGCTGGGGAGATGGCTCAGTGGAATAAGTGCTTCCCTGGCAAGCGCAAGGGCCTGAGTTCAATCCCTGGTTCTGGGGAAAAAAAAAAAAAAATTCTTTAAAGTGCTTCCCTGGAAAGAAAGTCTTATTTTTTTTGTTGTTGTTTTTGTTCTTTTTCATTTTAAAATGGAGAGGGTCCTCACTATGTAGCATGGGCTGCCTCAAAAATCACATGAACCTTCATGCTTCAACCTCTTGAGTACTGGGATTATAGGTGTGTGCCATTACCCCAGGCTAAGACAGTGAGAAAGTAGTAGTAGAGGGTGTGAAACACTCCCTCACCACTCCCAAACTAAGCTATCTCTAGTCTCTGCATATTACAACAATGTAAGATACAAAAATTTCTCTTTGGTAAACAGCAGGTGCACTTTAAAGAAATTGAGGAAAGAAGGCAATTAACATTTACCAAGTGCCCCCTCCATCGTTGAACAATATATTGTGCTTTAATTTTTTTTCACAAATATCTTCTCATTAAGATTAAATGTTAGGGGGTTGGTGCGATGGTTCAGTGGTCTAAAGCACCTACTTAGAACAAGTTTAGCAAAGCACAGGGACCGCGGTTCAATCCCCCAGCACCACATGCCAGCCAGCCCCGCCCCCTGGTGGGCTGAGCTGGCTATGCGCGCACACACACACAAATAAATAAAAATTAAAAAAAAAAGTTAAAAAAAAATTTAAAAAAAGATTAAATGTTAGAAAAAAAAAAGTTAAATGTTACTAGAAGTTTTTTTTTTTTTTTCAGTATTAGGTCTCCTTTATTTATTTATTGGTTGGTACTAGGGATTAGCCATAGGACCTTCACCGTGAGTTACATTCCCACTTCTTTTCTATTTTTGAGACAGGGTCTTGCTAAATTGCTTTGACTGCTGTCCTAATTGTGATCCTCCTGCCTCAGACTCCTAGAGGGTTGAATTAAAGGTGTGTATCACTATACCTAGCTAGTAATTCTTTATTTTTTATTTTTTTGCAGAACTGGGGATTGAACTCAGGCCCTTGCGCTTGCCAGGGAAGCACTTATTCTACTGAGACATCTCCGTGGCCCAGCTAGTAATTCTTTACTGGGAAAGAAATAATTAAGGGAAACTAGGGCATATACCTCAGAGGGAAAAGACATTCAAAATTGTTTTTGGTTTAAAATGAGTTCTTGGACACTTCTCTAAGGGTTTTTTTAAAAAAAAAATTTTTTTTTAATTTTAGGACAGGGTCTACAGGGTCTCACTAGGTAGTTAGAACTTGTAGTGATCCTCCTGTGCTCAGCTCCCAAGAACTAGGATTACAGGCTTGCCCAGTATCCATCCGCTCGCCCTGGGGGCGGGGCCGAAAAGGCTTGCTGGGTTCAAACCCCTGTCCCCTGCATCTGCCTAAGCAGGCACTTTAATCCGCTGAGCTATGTGGCTGGCCCTGATGAGTTTTTATTGTGTGAAATCACAAACAGGATGATTCATGGGCTTTAGAGTTTCGATTAATAAACACTTTTTTTTTTTTTTTGGTCTTTTTGAGACAGGCTGGCCTTGAACTCACTTTGTAGTCTAGGCTGGCCTCAAATTTACAGACATCCTCCTGCTTCAGCCCAGTTCTGGGTTTACAGGTGTGCACCAGCCCAGCATGGCTGGCCTAATAAACAGGTTTTTTGTTTGTTTGTTTGGCAGAACCAGGGATTGAACTCAGGCCCCTGCACTTGCCAGACAAGCGCTTATTCCACTGAGCCATCTCCCCGGCCCCCTAATAAACAGTTTTTGATATCCATTTATTAATTGATCCAGAGACCTTCTTCTGGAGTAGTGACCATGTTCACCTTAGAAGCCATGATGTAAAACACTTGCTGAGCATGGTGGCGCCTGCCCACCTAGAAAACATGGAGAGGCCCTGTCTCAAGGGGTCTGGGGCTCTAGTTCAGCGCTCAGTGGGAAAGCCAGGTGCCACATAACACCACCAAGCAAAACACTGCTGCATAGTTTGATGAGGTTGTCAGCTAAAACACAAGGAGGAATTTGAGGGTTATGAGTAAAGTTTTCGGCTGGGTAAAACAAGACCCTTTTCCATATTTTGGTGTCACGGGAATTTTAAGTGATTTTGCACTCATTCTCAAGAGATGATTTTCTTGGTTCTTAGAAGAAATTGGAAGATAAACTTTGGACAAGGTACTCAACTATGCCCTTTGTAATTAAATAACACAAGATAATGTGTTAAAGTTTAGTGGAGACTTAGATTCCTGAGCTGATTAGAGGTTACCACTTTAAGGGTAAACAGTGTAAGTCCAGGAGTTTGTAGGCATTACATAGTGATGAATTGCATGTTTTAATCTTTTCTTCCCAATCTTTCAGGATGACTCAGAATTAAGTAATGACTAATAGAAAGACAGTACAATTCACTTTGAAGGCTAGAACCAGACCAAGGAAGACTCGAAGTTTAGGCTGACTGCACAGCGACGTGCGGTCCCCACAGCATGGAGCCAGTGTGGGCTGTGGGTCATGATAGTAAATCTAGCTGTGTGCAAATGGGCTGGGGCAGAGAAGGGCGAGAGGAGCCGTACATTTGGCGGCTACCGCAGTGGAGGTGCTGGAATAGGAATGCTAGGAAGTGAAAACAGCAAACGATGGACCAGCGGCCTACACTATACAATAATTCACTCGGGGAGTGGCCGGCCTGGTGAAGAGAACCGAAAGCAGGGCTGAGCGTCGACTGCGGAGCCGGGCTGGGGGGGCGCCTGGACTGACCTCGCGTCCTTAGAACGACGTCTCGGCTCAGCCTGGGGACGCAGGCCTTACGCGACTGAGGCCAGGCGAGGCTGCGGCGGGCGGAGGTACCCTCAGACGTGGGCCTGCGCCCTTCGCGGGTCAGACAAGCACTCCCGGCCCCCGTCCCGCCTGCCCCTCCTCTTTCCTCCATCCCCGAATCGCCCCCCACCCCCACCCCAAGTCGCAGCCCGCACCGCCCTCCGCCCCTCCCCCGTGGGGTGCTGACTATCCCGGCTGCCACGTCTCACTGATGACATCACCAGGGCAGCCGGCCTTAGCCAATCCGCTAGGGGGAGTCCGAGCGAAGTCCTCGCCAGCGAGTCAGAGGGGAGGGGAGCTGAGAGGGGGGCGGAGGCTGGGGGTGAGGGAGTGGGGCATGGGGCGGGCTACAAACCCACCAGTGCGCGTGCGCTGCAGGCGCGGGGCTTGTCGGGAACCTGAGTGCAGTGCGGCCACCGCCCCGTGGGTGTTCAGCTGGCACGTCCTGCTCGTGACTCTCCTTCCCGGCATGCCCCGCGGCGCAGCCGCCCTCTGAGCTGTGGAAAAGACCTCTGTCTAGGGCTTCCCTATTTCCTGGTTCGCCGGCGGCCATCTTGGGTGGAAGCGATAGCTGAGTGGCGGCGGCTGCCGATTGTGTTCTAAGGGGACGGAGTGGGGAAAGACGTCTGCTCTGCTGGAACAGCCTATCTCATTCCTTTCTTTCGACTGCCCGTGGCGCGGAGAGTCGGGGAGGCGGCTGCGGCAGCAAGGGCGGAGGTGGCGGCGGCGGCAGCTGCAGTGACATGTCCAGCATGAATCCCGAATAGTGAGTGCAGGAGAGCGCCGGGCGCGGGGTCTGTGGGCCGGCTGGGGGGATGCTTGCGGGGGCGAGCGGGCCGGGGCAGGAGCGGGCGTGTAGGTTGGCTGGCGAGGTGACGGGGCGGCGGCCGGGTCGGCCCCATTGTTTGACCGCAGCTGGGCGGCCGGGGAGGGGTCGGGCCGCGGGGGTCAGCAGGAAAGCCGGCTCCAGGGAGGTGCGACCGCTGAGGGAGCCTTGTTTGTGAGCCGCCGTGGAGGGCGCCGTCAGACCCTGCGCCCGCACTCTGCGGAGCTGTCAGGAACGTCAGGGCGGAAACCAGCTTTACTTGTAAATCCTGAGCTTCTTGGCCCGCTTCTTCCACCCTCCCGCCAGGTCTCAGGTAATATGGATGCTTCTCGGGACTGCGTGGTGTTGAGGGCAATGGGTAGATGGCGAGAAGCGGCTTAAATTTTTAGGTTTTTTTTGTTGCTTACTGGAAGAGTTCTTGAGAAACTTGCCGGTCCATTGCCTTCCTAAAAACCTGGACGTGTGCGTGTGTTTTAGGACAGCTTAGGTCATTTTGATTTCTGTAGGTCATCAGCAACCAAAAAGACCTAAAACCAAGGAATGTTTTTCAGATGCTACCACATTAAAGGAAAAGTTTTCTGTCAATTTGAGAGAAATGAGTGGGACAGTAAAGATCTGTAGGTTTTGGATTACCTACTTGAATGTTTGCAGATAGGGAATGAGGCTCCATGACGTGTCATGAAAAGTTAATGCATTCCTTTTTCTTGCTTACTCAGGAAGTCGCCACAGCAGACACACCTGGGCGCCTTTCTTGGGAACTGATACTCACTTTCCTTGGGAAGACTTTGTCGGGCCTCTCTGCTTAGTAGCCTTGAAAAACGCCCTACAGTTTCAAATCTATAAATGAGTAAATAGAGGACATTTCAACTATATTCTGTAGGGTCATAAGGCTCTAAGGAGAAGGCAGATATTTTAAAAAGCAAATATCTTGCCGTAAAAGTTAAATTTATTTGCTCCTTTGGTCAATTACTGTTAAACATTTTCCCCTAAAAGGTGCGCCCATCAATTTAGCTGACTGGCATGTATATGTCACATGGCTCTTGCAAAATGAGTTCTGATTTCAAGTTTTGTAATACTATGGTTTGAGACCGAAATATCCTTTCTTTTTTTCTTATCAAGCAGTAATAAATAGACCAGTAATTTAGTTATAACTTGAAGTCCATTAAATTATTCAGAATTTTCATAAAGGCCAAAGGTTGATACAGATGGCCTAATACATTTATTTAAGCTCACTCAGTATTTACCCTCACCCACAATCAAAATTCAGCAAACAATTATAGACTTTATGATTTTAGTTCTCAGAGCTAAGAGTTTTTTTTTTTTTTTTTTTTTTTTCAATCCCTTTTATGTTAGATGGAAGCCGCGGGCTGGGGAGATAGTTCAGTAGTATAAGCCCTTCCCTGGCAATCGCAAGTGCCTGAGTTCAATCCCCGGTTTCGCCAAAAAAAAAAAAAGAAAGAAAGAAAGAAAGAAAGAAATTGAAGATTGTATCCTTAGAGTACTTAATTGTTCTTTTTTTTTTTTTTTTTTTTTTTTTTTTTTTTTTTTGCAGAACCAGAGATTGAACTCAGGCTCTTGCACTTGCCAGGGAAGCGCTTATTCCACTGAGCCATCTCCCCACCCCTTAATTGTTGTGTTGGTGATTTTAAAATTTTTTTGTTTGGCCATTTTTTAAAGTTGTTATCAAAGGTTCCAATGGCAAAGTGAGTTTTGCATAGTTGAATTTGAGGTTCCTAATTACATTTTTAGTTTTCCTTTACTACGGAGCAAGAGCTTGCTCTTTTGAATATTTGTAAACCTCTACTGTTCAGGGAGTTTCCTGTATTTGCTAAATGTATTTAGTATTGTATAT